AGATCCTTACGGCGAGAAATAACAACTTCCTTATTCCAGTGAACAGTAATTGACGAAGTATAACAATAATTTAAGCACAATTTAGGTATTTTGACATTAGGTCTACTTAATTTATATTTCTATTTTCGATTTTAGATCAGTTATGAATTTCAGCTTGAAGAAGTCCTAATTTGACGGACAAGATTTGAAACCGAATGAAGAAAACCAAAGCTAAAAGCTGTCACGTCCGTGATGTTACAAGTTTACGAGAAAGACGGTAAAAAAACGTGAGGTGCTAAAAGAAACTATTATTATTATGATCGTGATCGTTACTTAGCTATTATTAGCTTACTATCAGACAGCGCCATGGAATTACTTCTAAGTGTTTGATATTCATGACAGATTCGCTGGTTTTCAAGTCGATTGGAACTTGGCGCTAGTATATTTTGTGTTCTTTAATATTTTATGCACTCGCTTATTTTACCTGTATTTTTAATAGACCTTTCATCAATAATTTTATGAAAATAAATAAATGATTTTACATGAAGCCTGTTAAGAAAATCATTTAGCCCGCCCCGAATTCAAAACATGCTACACGAACTTCATAATCATGACTGACAAGGCTTTAATTTAAAACAAAATTATGCGTAGCCAATTAATTTCGAACTATGTAATAACAATCTTTTTGCGGTAACTTAGACAATTTTCTTCCCATTAAACCACTTTTCTCACCCAACTGTGACGTCATTTAATCAAGCAAGACAAATGATCTAGTAGATGACACAACGCATCTCAAGTACTACACGATACTATGATTCAGCTAGAAAGTGATGTCTTCGTGAGAAGCGGAACCCAGTCAGTGTAGGTTTCCGTCCTCATTGTTTGAAGACATCCTGCATTTGATTAAAAACTTCGTGTAGGACGTATTTGACTGCCCGTTGATCTAGAGGAAGGGTACAAGATTGTTGATGACGGCCACTTACAGCTGGTCATGATACAGGAACGCCGGACGATGCATCTACCAATCAACTTCAGACACATTTTATGAGGAGCTACAAAAGTACTTTTATATAATATTATGTTGTCCCTGATATAGAGAAGCCGCAAAACCAGAGAATATTTTGAAGTATTCATAATATAGACACACGTTCTTCAAACATTTTGAAGCCTAAAATAATCTCGTCCATAAGTCCATCCAACCGTAGTTTGTTGAGGAATGTAAATTTTTGGGACAAGAAACTCATTATGAGTCATGATTCGCGTGTTGGTGCTCGTGAGATTTTGAATAACGTTAAGGTTCAACGGGGCAAATACAGTAACGATAATTATATGAAACTAAATGGTTAAAGATACGGTAGCAGAATGATTTGCGTCTTTCTCTTGTTTTTTTGGCCCCAGCAAATATTTTGGTCAAGAGTTCTCACCTTAGCAGCGATGTATGAATTAAACCGTTTTATTAAAATTGCTGAGGACTGTTTGAATTATATTATATCTCAGCTTTATTTGAAGTGACTCGTACATGTTTCCACGTGTCACATTTATCATACAATCATTAAACAAGGCCACCTAGACCTCAGCGGAGCAACATCTCTATTTCAATTCACCACAAAGTGTCTAACAAGTATCAAATAGCCCATAAAACTGCGGTTCAAACAAAGCTTTTACTGCAGAGTTCATTCGTCTTATCCTGCGCCAGCGCGGCAAAAAGCCGCTCTTAGGCGTGCAACGCATAATTTTGATTTATGCAGAGTGCCGGCCGCGCGCGCGCCCACGCCTTGCATTTGTCTGTTTGTACTCAATGCGCAGGCGACGCACGACAAAAATATTATGGCCTTATTTGAACAAATATCATTTAATAAAGAAACTTGAAAACACTATTCTTCTTTGAAATGCAAAAAAAATACATTGAGACAAAATGAATGTATAATACAACTGTTATTCCATCCATTTCATCCACTCTTGTACATGAATGTCTTAAAGCGACCATAAATTTGTAGGACGCCTACAATTAAACTAAAATGTAAATGAGTAAATCATCATTAAAACGGTTCATCTTTTCTCGTACGTTTCAAATGCGTACAAATCGCATTCTGTGTTCCAACATTATTAATCTAATTTCCCAGAGTGACGTAACTCCATTCATTGGTCCCATAGTTATTATAATAAGTGTAATCAAAACTAAAATACCATTGCATACTGTTATTAAATAATGATTGTTACGATTCGTCCCGACTCATTTTAGAAATATCAATATCGATGAGTACGGCTCTACTAATATCAACTTTCACTTATATAATTAGGGATGCCTCATTTTAAAAAGGCCAATGCTTTAGTACCTTTAATAATAAACCTGTGCTAATGACGCAGTAATAAGTATCTGTCACCTTTTTTCTGCTATAGGGTTAAAAAAACAGTTTCAAACGAAAATTCAAAAATGCGTCATGTAACAAAGTTACATACCTACTCTTAATTTTTCATTAATTACTCAAATGTAAAAATTACTTCATCATATAATTTGTTATAGCTTACAATAACATCATATTTCTTATGTATTAATTCGACACAAAAAATAACCAGCAGCCCTATGTACGCATAATGATCAGGAATGTTCCCTAGCTGCCCGATGATGCACTCTAGCGCACGCGAGCTGCGCACACGCAACCATAATAAGATCAACAGTCAAATTGGGCTGTACCAAACGTTACTATATTAAGTAACAGTATCTGTACTGCATATTACTATTTGTTTTATATTTGACCTTTGTTAAAAGAAAGTAAAAATGGCATTCGAAACCAAGTTATACTGGATGAACTAAATAAGAAAATAAAATAAGAAATAATGAAAAGAATAAGCTTATTTATTCCATAAATCTACGTATTAATATAAAAGATAATTAACTATTACTGATATCGTCTAAATACGGTACATTTTAACAATTTTATTACAATTAATATTTAACAAAAATACTAGATTTTTCATTATTTGACGATATCTTCAAAACTAGACTAGCTATTACTTAATAAAACACAATAATTACTTCAAAAAGCATTAAATTATGATGTACCGAACAGGCAATTTCCACAAGATTAGGAAAGCGGAACAAACGAACCGACAGATAAATCACAATTTCGAAAATGTATGTGAGAAAGTGACCATAGTAACTACGTGATACAACTGTTACAAGATTTACTCTTTCTAGTGAAGACCACATGAGTACATTATTTTGAGGTTCCTCACGTTCAAATGGTAAACGGTACAAAACTTCAAAAATTTGGATTTTTGCTAACTTGAATTGTTTCTCTTTCTGTTTACGTTTAGGCATGTTAAAGTAAAAAGTCCTTAACTTGTTTTCTAGTAAAACTTACTACATGAACAGACTAGACCAGTATAGAGAATTGTGCTAAATAGGAGACAGAAGTGAACTAAAGCTCATAGCAAATAAGCATATTCTATGTAAAAGATACATTGAAAAACTGTTCATTTTTTAAACTTATGACAATTTGTGCTACGTAAATGAAAACAATAAATTTATCGATTTTAATCATATTATTAACGTTACATCAATACTTATTTATTTATTTGGCTCACCGACAATTTAGTGCACTCAAACAATGATGGGTTACAATAAATCAATTAGAGGGTCTAGTGTATCAATTTCTTACAGGCAAGCACATGATGCACTACATATAAATTATATGTATAAATATTACTCATATATATTACTTTATGTGCCAAATTTACGTACCTATGAAACCTAAATGCGTTCGACAATAGTCACGCTCTATTGCGCTCAAATTTAGTAACATCACCGCATCCGGTTTTCAATGATTATACGGCAATAAATAAAACCTTCGTGTTGCTATTATTTACTGACCCATACAGAATGCTAAACTACACGATTTGTCTACATAAAATCGACATTAGAATCGATAAAAACTGGAATGTCCTGGAAACAACGAATTATTTCCATTCGGCTCATAGGTTATGCGTTTGTTAAATAGAGCGCGTAGGCTGAAATCATGTTGGTCATTATAATCCAAACTATTTTCTTTCAAGTATCCATTATTTACTCAGAAGGAAAGTAAGTGAGCAAGATAGTGTAATCTTCTTGAACTTAAAACATATTAATTACTTAATTAACTAAAATTCGCGGGTTACTCACGTGTACATGTAGAGAAAAGCTCTACTAGTTTCGAACCACAGAGGGGTTCTTCCTCATGAGCAGCGTGCGCGGACGCGGCGACGTCGCACAGCCTACTCAATACACGATAGTTATTATAAAAACATATTAAATACTTCGTCAAGAACAAGAATTGCTGAATAAAAACAAATGAAACGCTAGTGACATCACACCAGATATGACAAGGACAGCTACATAGCTACCTCTCGTACTACAATGAGAATTTACATGCACCAGAACTACTGCTTTCTCAATACTTTGAATACAAGTAACACATCAGACAATGATCATATGTCACGCCTAAAATGTCTAGAACAACAAGAAAGTACTTTCTCTATCTATCAAACGAAAGAATTAATTACTAGAAATCACACAAATTCTAATAATAAACTTCAGATTACAAACCGATTTGCCTGAACAGCGAAGAATGTACGGGTTATAAATTTGTACTACAGGATAATTACTAAATGTTTTGTTTGGATGAAACTTTTTAACCTTTATTTTCATTCATAACTTATTGTCAGACTAGAGATAGTTCAATGGTAAGTTCTCAGAAAAAGTAGGGAAATAAAAAGAGGTTTAAAAAAAATTGCTGATTTCATAAATCAAGGAATGCTTATATCAAGATGTTATACTCTTTATATTATTAGCCTACATCTTTGTAAATGTAGGCTTGATGAATTAATGAACATAGGTCTACATGTACCAACCCTACCTACTGCCTACACCAATCGAATAAATTTTCCATTTTTAATACAAATCAATTAAGCTGAAAATCTGTCAAACTTTGGAATAAGTTGAGTCTTCATAATATGGTACAAAGTACAATTCTGATACTTACAGCAAGCTCTTCGCTGGTATATGCAGTGAGGATGCGTCGATCCTGCTGCAGGACGCAATAGAATGGCTCCCAAGATAGAGGCACCCCCACAGCCGCACCCGCCACCGCGCTTGTCGCCCCATCTGGTGATAAAAACAAGACAACATTGATAAATCATGTTATGCACAAACATAAAAATTCAGCAGTTGCTGACATTAAAATTTTTTTTATTTGTTTTCGGATAGTTCCATAGTATAAAATATCTCCTGTCTTGTACCTACACCATCAGATGACGAGGCAGAAAATTCCAAAAAACTTACAATACTATCAGTAGAACACAAGCCGGTATTAGTTTTACAAGTACAACAATACTAACTCACACACCTACTAAATAATTATACAATTTTGGTTATATAGGAAGTTTTCCAACTACGTAGGTGCGTACCTTTGTTGCCACAAGTTTTAACTAACTTGGTTTAAATAAAAGAAAAAATATAAATAATTTCGTGACTGGCTAGACGTTAGTCGTTGCTCAGTAAATTAGCACGAGCAATAACCGTCGCTCACATGTGGTACCAACTAAGCAGTTACTAGTAAACCAATACCAACCAGTCGACCATCCCGTTAACATGTGGCCAAGATTATGATGACATAAATGATATCATATGGACAACATAGGTACTGGCTTCTTGAGAAGTAATCAAAAAATTTACAAAGAAATATTTTTCGCTGACATGAAGTGTCTTTGTAGACCTATACAAATGTATTTGTTCGTCATTTTGACAAAGAGATTCTTGCCATGTTGCCCGGTTTAGGTGCCTGCTAGTAATGCATTAAGATGCGAATTCAAAACCTTGCCAGTATTAATGTGACTATTTTTCGTTTCGTTCATATTTTATTACTGTCTGTTACTTAGACACCACTTATCGACGGTGAACGAAAGACCGTGAGAAAACTAGGACTTGAACTAATTATAATTTTAAAATCGCCAATTCAGCATGAGGAAGTGTGGTGATTAATGCTTAACTGCTTTGATCAGCACTTATAGACTGATGATGTTACAGAATCAATATAATCTTTTAGTTCTTCTGTTTGTCATAACATGTATGAATCTTAGCTAATTTTCGGTTTATATTTATTTAAATACGTCCCAGCAATCTTTGTAAGAAAATTAAAAAATCCCAACATTGTAACAGATTCATTGTAGCGATTGTATTGATACATACATTGTATAAGGCAATGTATCAACGTAATTACTGTTTCCATGTTACATCTGCAAGCTTTTCTACTTAAACACACTCTATGCAATTCACCATTACTCATAGCAACTTAAAATTCGAAGTACACAACCATGTAAAAGGTAATAAACATAATATATCAATAATAACACACTTATGTTACGTTATGATACCATAATATGAAGTGAAAGGTGCCTTTATCAACTTATTTAATTGTATATAACATGCCACAAAAACTATTAGATTACGTGACCGAAGTCTTTTGTTATATGGCAAGTAAATTACATACTAACTCCCATACAGTGTATCGTTCACCGTAGATTTTTAATTAACATATATACGACTACGACGATACCGCTAGATAATGTGGAAAGTGGGCCGGTCATCAATCAGATAAAATTGGAAAGATCTGAATTATAAACACGCTGAGCTGTGAATTGTGGCGTAACGTAGCATAAATATAAATCGACTTTAATCATTATATATAATGAGCTGACCACTAGTGATTATTGTGGTCAGTTTCACGAAAGACGCGCTATCTTAAGTGGTAACTGAAAAAAGATAACGCATATAAATAAATAATAAGGAGAAATGACATGCAATTTCTAATACACCTATATTATTAAATATTCCGCATATAATAATACATACTAATGGCTAGGCATTTATTATACACAAGAAATCAATAAATAGATATGATCATTATAATTAAGTCGTTATTCATAGAGAACCCATCGAATCAGATACTCCTACGACATAAGACGAGCTTAACAAGCTCCCTCGTTATCGTCTCAGTTATAAAAAGGTTTAGTTTACAATTTAAATAATCACGAAGCGGCAAGCTAAGTAGTTTATGCAATATATTACAGCATCGATTGCACCAGACATAGTAGAAAAACGAGTCAACCTGACTGATGACGGACCAATATCTTAGTCGCGGCACGACTGATCTATTATGCTGGGGCCCGATCCACGTCCCATACAATAATTTACCATAAACCCTTCAACGCGATCTTAATCAGTACTTTATAATGGCGTGCCCACATGTTATTAGTCACACAAGCAACTATAAGCATAAAGTAAGATTTAAACAAAGGCGATGTTTTAAAACAATCTGAGTAAACGGATTTCAATGGAGCTTGTGCCTCGTTCACACTGTTCTTCCTTACGGGGTAAACAAACGGCTCGAGCAATACAAATATAAGGCGTCTATACCTTTCGAAGCCACATAAGGTAATGATGTTACTGTGTTTTAAAACTATTTGTTCAGATACAGCAGCAAATTCATTACATGTGAACACAACAGAAGCTTTTACTCAGTCGCCTGTCAGAGCTTCAACATTGATTAATATACGAATAAGTTGTGGACAGTATATATATGGCAGTTCGTCTCGTAAGTAAAATAACAGAATAATAAACTTTGCTACTGCTATAAGCTACAATTCAATGCTTTAACTTTCTTAATCAACCAACTTATATTCAACATCTAAAAATAACTCCCTCAAACGTCAATTTACAGTCTAAAAATATCCTAAAATAAAAAAGAAAACTGAAGTTTTTAAACAGGACAAAGGCAGTAATTGAAGCACTTGTTCAGCTAATTAAAAGCTGGTGGTGCGTTGCGTCCACATGGATTAATGCGTTCCATTTAATCTATTAAACAGTGACTCATGAGCACTGACGATCCAGAAAACAGTAATCAAAAGGGGCATGGACAGGAGCAAGATTTTATAATGCATTTTGTGGATAAAAGCTTCAAACGAATTGGTCTTCAGAATACGGATAGTATCAATCTAGAGTTGATTCACGCAACAAACGGTTCGACGGCTGAGGCAGTGAAACTGTGAAACAAATAAATTTTACTCTCTTTAGGTTATTGCTATAACAGTTGGGCGTGAGTCATGCAGTTGCAAACGCTATACGGACTTGATTATGCGCTCGTAATATCAATCGTTTTGCGTCTATTTGTCTCGTGAAGCACGCGAGTCAACGGTATAAACATACGTACCACATAACTCTAAACTGAAATATTAAGAACAAGCCGTCTACATTGGTCTAGGAAGTAATTCTGAAGGTTTACTACATTTTTTTATCACTGTGTTTATATACTCTCTAGTTTACTAGTTTTCTCCTCAACTCAATGTTTTATCTGTCCTACTAACTTATAATTAGAAATTAAACTGTAAATAGAACACGAATTTCATAAACGACGTTTCCTACTGGGGGCTTGCACAATTTGTACGCAATGATAAATAACTCACTAATGCAGCATTTACACCAATACACCTACTGGCATATAAAAAGTTACGTAGGTACTATGAGCCACCCACCCACGGCGATGTGGTGAATTTTTGTGATAATCTATCGCGCAAAGCACACCTACTCGTGCTAGCGCTTGAGGCAAGTCGACTAGCCATATTGAATACGTGAGAATATTTAATTGTGTAGAAAGCGCATTTATTTACACCCATAGAAACAAAAGTTTTAATGGCACCATTATCTATTGTGTAAAATTAAATTAATTGATCGATTGGTATTGAGAATTTTCATACGTATACAAAATGATCATGCTATTTGAAGATGGATGGATTAATTATTGATTTCATGTCTCTATTTCTTACTTGCTGTCTTGCGTGCTGATAAAACTGGTTTGCTGTTTAGGTTGATTGATTAGTTGTCTAGATATTATTATTGTATTGTTACTAAGCTGCTTAAAATTCTTCTGGCCGGCTATAGGTTGCCGTCGAATTTACATATCATGAACCTGTATGAAAAAAACTTTTGTTCGGCCTATGGCCAAACACTCCACTGACATCACTGACATACATAGATACCTAAGCGTAGTACAGACACAGATTGTCAAACGTGTGAGATTACAATATTTCCAAGAGCGACATCCATTATGAAGAAGGAAAGACGATTTGTTCTAATACATGGAAAACGAAATTAAAAACCAAAGTTAAAACAGTCAGACATTTTACCACACACCTGTCTTATAACATGTGCATAATGTTCTTCATAATTAACATCAATTTCACTTGTTATCATCATGTCATCAGACGAAAGAGTGCATGTACTTACATATATTTTTACAATGTATGAGATCAGTGACTTTCAACTTCAAGTCTTTCATTATTTGTAAAGTATGATAAATTACATAAGCAGTTTGAAAATTGAAAGCTTTGAAGTATAACATTAATTGAAACATCCAATTTCGTGGAGTTGTGGAAATCGATCGATATATATCTGTAAATATTACTAGACGTGTATGAACGTAAATATAGGCTAATGAAATAAAATGCATATCTCAAGTAAAATCATCCTTAAAGGACATCGAATAATCTTCAAATTGAAGTAAAACTAAAGTCAAACAACTCCAAAGCTTACACTTATCTACCTTATCTTTTATATTTCTTTCATGAATTCCTTAAAGCCACCACAGAATACTTATAGTTAATGAGCGTAAACCTAGAATAGCCTTTAAAAGCCCGTCGTGCTTCGAAAATAGCCGGCGGCTATCAAAATCACTATCTCCGTCTAAGTCACGCACGCTTCGCCTTCTCCATGATATGGCTACGAGCTAAGAAGGAAAAACCTCGCAATAATGATAATAAAATAAATATTAGACTACAAATAATTTAATAATTACGATAACCAGACAGAAAATGCGCAAATTTGCTAGAAGGTATACTTTATACCCCTCTAGAAAAACTAAACTTGGAAGTTGCTTTACGAGTTTAAATTAACGATGCCTTGAAACGTAACATGTCATTAAAACTACAAAGATTGTTATCAAGTTCCACTTCTGCATTGCGTATTGCATGACTTTACATTTTAAAAGAAGTCAAACGTTTGCCCACATCAATGCGACATACACTTCATAATAGTGTCGGTGTACCTTTCAC